CTAGTTTAACTACACCACTCAAAGCAGTCAATAATTGTGTAGCATAGATTTCAGCAAACCACATTTTGTTGATATTGCCAATTACTTCAACATCCCAATATACTCTCCAATCAACTATAAAACTTTTTGTTACAGAAGCAGATACTTTGCCGATCTGTGGACTGAAAACAACTCATCCTCTCACCCATTACACTTGGCTGCTACACTACACATTGTTAGCGGTAAACCAATCTGAATTAGCTCCATCAAGTGTTATTCAACTAACATTACAGTAGACTTGAATTCCATTAGATAGCTTGTATTCCACTAATCCATGGGATACAAGCTGTATTATAGAGGTTATGCTTGGCAGCCATCTTCCCGCTCAGCGTTTTTGTTCCACAGGGGTACACTTGAGTAGACCTTTTGTGCATATCCCCCATAACAAAAGCACTGACTGGGAAGATGGCCGCCATGCATAATCCCTACTGAAGTTAGTCATAGCTGTTAATGTTCAAACTTAACAAGGGTTACTGAAGAAAAGGTGAACAATCCAGGGGAAACATGCATATAAGGATTTAGAGTCTAAACCATCACAGGTGCCTACAGGCAAATGGATGGACATAGGCAATTGCACTTAAGTGTCTTGCTCAGGAACACAAGCACCATGTGTATATGGCTGGGTTTAGATACAGCACAACTTGGTCATTGCACTCACAAAGAAAACTGGTGAAACATAAGTTTTTTTCTATTCTGAATGTCTGCTTTAGACTCTTGTCCCTGCTCTTAGTAAACTAGCTTCACCTGACTGGAAAAGGATGACCGTGGGGATGCACGCGGGGAAGTCCGAAGCAGGACAGTGAGTGATAGCTGGAGGGTATCCATGGTAAATACAGATTCATGTATATGTATTACATACAACCATCATGTAAAGGGCACAATGGGGGTGAAGGAATGGGCAACGCGTGGAGGTACAATGGCACAAGTAAGAAATAGGAAGCAAAAGAACCAAGTGACCAGGGAATATATGAGAACACGAGGAAAAAGGAAGTTTAGTTTGATGAAACAGGGAAATTGGAAATGGACATAAGTTAAGGAAAGCAACAAGAAATATGAAAAAGGTTCAAAGGATTAATGAGATAAATGAAAAGACAGATAGAACGTAAAGGATAAAGAAAGGAAGTGGGAAAGGATGTGGGGCAAGTGAACATACAAGACAAGACCCAGAAGAAGAAAATAAGATGAAAGGTAAATAGAAAAGAATGTAATGGCTTTGATTTTAATTTGTCTAGTCAATGAAGAATTCAGATGTGCAGTAATGTGAGATGTATTTTTAAAAACCTTTAAAATGTTCTAATCCTACGGATAACTATGAACTATCACTTCTTCCACTTATTCATGAATCTGACATAAAAACCAACCTACCTCTAAGTTGGACAGACTTATAGCCGATGCTATAGTAAGAGACAGAAACCAGAAACATAACTTAGTTGTTGGTGAGTACAAGCACACATTCATAGACCTTATTAACAAGGAAGCCATAATTGAGTTTGTTCTTAATCAATGTAATCTGCCAAATTGAATGTTGCCAGACTACTTTGGATTCACTTTCTTTTTGTAATGGTTGCTTAACCACTCCCTACCGGGGAGTCTGGATCTGGACACGTATGCTTTATATGTATGGCCAGGGTCTCCAAACTCGGACAAAGGGAACAGGGCCTTGTAACAAAAGACCGTGCTTGGAACAATTTTGTCTGTCAGGCTAGAGTGGACACCAGACAGTCCTTCACATGTTTGTAAGTGTCCAGTAAATGAAGATAGGAATTTGTAAAGAATTTTGAAAACAGAAAAAAATGATAAATACCCGGCGCAGCATCATCAACATTGATAACTGCCCCGGTAGGAAGTGGTTACAACATTTAGACTTTAATTCCAAATTTTAACTTATTCATCACTGTTAATGATTTCAATCAAGAATGATCTTATCTCATTGCTTTACTTTTCTTCTTAATTTCATTTCCCTGAATAGAAAGTTTAACTCGCTTTCAAATCAATATGGCCGACTTGAAAGTAAGGTCAAAGGGTAGCAATACATGCAAGAGGGCTGCTTTTACTGCGCACATAGCTAGTGAATGACATTTACCAAGCCTGACCCTGACCATTCATTCAGAGCATTCTTTCTGTAAGGAAAAGGAAACACATACTGATATGCACCCAATCTTATAAGACCAGAACAACTGTCCAATTTATGTGTAAGCAACACTGGCTTGACTTTACAATGTTGCCAATGTAAGTCTCCATCTACGTCATTCAGCAGCATAGTACTCTACCCAGCTGCAAACATGTTTGATGTACATGGAACACCTGAACACTTACAATCAAAGACGCTGTTTAATTCAGTGGTTACAATTGAAACTGACATGTGCCAAAGGAAGCCACTGGCTAGCGGCTATTGCCACCTCTCACAGATATGTGTATTTAATACTCCTAGCTGTAGCCAGTAGGTTGAAACATGGCTCGAGTTCCAAAAACATGACAAAGGGTGGCTGGCTGAGTCACTGAACAGAGCAAGGGAGGATGGTAGAATAACGTGATCTAAAGAAGTGGCTAAAATAGGCTTCATAGCTTGGGACTTAATCTGCCAAGATCCTTACAAATCTAGGACATTTTGAATGATTTTTAAGGATTAAAGCAGGGGAACAGAATGCAAAGTGCCATCAGGGTCCCATGCAGTGATGATATTTCAGAATTCAGGCAGTGTGAGTTCCTGAACCAAACAGCCTATAACTAACTATTTTTAAATTGACCAATTATCCTGCAGTGCTTACCATCCTTGTTACCAGCATCTCTGATGGAAATTTGCTGTGAGTTGTTTTCATCCGGCTGCAAATTAAAAAAAAAAAATCAGTAAAACAATATGCTAACCCAATGCCTATCAAATCTGGCAAAAAGACACAGTCTGGATTCACTAAAGCTTAATGCATGAAGTGCAGGTGTCATTACCAGTTACTTAAGTACCAAGTGGCTTATGTTATAGAGTACCAG